TTAGTGAGACGATAATAGTTTATATTATTGAAACGGAGAGATATGAGTTGCAGTTTACGAGTCGGTTGCACATTGATAATACGTAAACGCACCAGTAACTTGGTGTTATAAAACGTATTGTTGTGTGTGATTTGATGAGTAAATAGAGCAAGCATATGAGTCGAAGTTTATCCGTTCCTTTTATCCAAAATGGATAAAAGCCATATCTATGGGCCCCTCGATGATTTAGTGATGACACCCTAAAGCGCTTGGCCAAGCTGGGACTAAGTTGATGTGTTCAATTGTAGTCTGTTGTAAGTCGTCATAAATCATAAATCTGAAATCAGGAAACAACACATAGCAGAGAGAATGATTTAATCCATGTCTCAGTCTATACGATATCTAGAATGGAGGAATATATGGTCCCTTATCTAAAGGACGCGTTACTGATAATATCAGAGGTGACAGTGGCTTTTGAAAGCTACGATTGCTGATCAGGTTCTGGTATTTGCAAAATAGCTATTAGACTTATCCAAGTGGGAGACTGTTGGATTAGGTGTCTAAGCCCATAACTATTTTGGTATTACTTGACCGATTATGAGCATAGTCCTTTGGGTTGCCTTCACCATAGCAACTGATAGGATAAATTTAAGGAGAAAAAGGATTAATTATGATTTATTAATATATTATAAGAATAATATATTAAAAGATAAATCATATTGTTTAATTAATATTAGTCAAGAATTAATTAAGAATTAATTTTATGGCTAAAAGAGATTAATTAAATAAAGGGGACTGATACTATAACTATAAGATAGTTACAAAGTTGGGCTTAGGATCCATAAAGGAAGCATGGACGAATTCTATATGGAGGTCCATATAGAAATCGTCCAAGGGCCTTCTGGAAGGGTCTTTGGGGGACTCGACGAGTCGCTCTTATGACTCGGCGAGTCGGGTCATGGTTCCCCAACCTTTTCTGTTTCTGAGCAAAATTGTTGAGTCTAGAAGAGGACTCAGTAAGTTGGACCTGTTTATGGACTTGAAGATCAAAGAACTCGACGAGTTCAAGGATGAACTCGACGAGTTGAAAGAAAATGTCCCGATTAAGATGAAGATGAACTCGACGAGTTCAAGGATGAACTCGGCGAGTCATGAGCAAAGGGTCCCGACTATGTAGGAAAGAACTCGACGTGTTCTTGAAAGACTCGACGAGAAGGATCGAGGTTCCAGAGTTTTATGGACCCAGGAACTCGACGAGTTGATGGACCAACTCGGTGAGTTGAGTCAACCAGATGTTGACTTTGACCAAAAGTTGACCTTGACCAGGGTGTTGACCTTGACTTTGACTTTGAACTGAGTTGACCCTTGAAGGGTTATGAGTATGAGCAAAGGGTCCCGACTATGTAGGAAAGAACTCAACGAGTTCTTGAAAGACTCGACGAGAAGGATTGAGGTTCCAGAGTTTTATGGAACCAAGAACTCGACGAGTTGATGGACTAACTCGGCGAGTTGAGTCAACCATATGTTAACTTTGACCAAAAGTTGACCTTGACCAGAGTGTTGACCTTGACTTTTTCTTTGAACCGAGTTGACCCTTGAAGGGTTATGAGTATGGAAGAGTAATTAAAAGAGGTTGTTATGTGTAGGAGTTTGAGAGGAGGTGATCCCAACACCGAGGCTAGTTCAGACACTACACGATATTGAAGTGGGTTACCTTCTAGTAGAGGTGGGTCTACGGCCACAATGCCAGCCCACTAGTAGGAGTTGTTGATAGATGATTGTTTTTGTGATAATTATCTAGGTTTGCTACTACCTGATGTGTCTTATGTGCTAACATGATATGTTGTATGTGATAGTGGTAGTAGAAGGGGAATAGTCCCCAAGTTCGGTCGTTAGGACCGAAGGGTAGGTCGGGCATCCCAGATATGCCTGACAGTATGGTGGCATATAATAGTTCCATCATTGTAGGTTGCAATGGTATATCGATTCCCATTACAATTAAAGTGAGGATATTTTTAGAATGTCAAATTGTTGGAAATATAAATTTTAGTAGTATTCAACTTTGTAGGGAAAATGTTACGTTGACTTATATTATATGTTATAAACCATAGATGATTTTATCATTTACCTCAGTGAGTGAGATAACATAAAGTTAGCATGATTAGGTGTTAAAACCATCTTGAATTGTCAGCGACCCCAAACTAAAGAATGGGTTAAAAATTAAAAGGAACAAAAAAACATGGATATGGTTAGACATAATTTTTTTTGAAGAATCAGTTAAAAATGAATAACAGAAAAACAAAACTAAAAAGTAAATTCTTGTCAATTTCTTATTTTTACCCATATCTAGAAGAAACTTTATAGGATTTGGGATTCGAGATGTAAATAAGAGCAACTTCAACATCACTAAGAAAAAAACATAGAGAGGTCATGATCTTTCTATGGAAGCCCATTAATCACTTGAAAACTATAATCTATCAAACGTGAATTCAAATAAATATGTATGTAGGATAAATGATGGTTGAATATTTGAGCCTAAATCATATTGCCATTAGCAAACACCAATTCAGTAATAGAATTTCTTCTTATTCCCTAATTGCGGTTATAGCAACCAAATTGGACTAAAAAAAATCAAAAAAAAATCAAAAATCAAAACACATAACTGGATGCCAACAAAATTGAATAAAAAAGGAACGTTGAATAAGGGATCTAGTGACCATTCTTTAGATGGTGAAGAAGTGAAATGAAGAAGAATGATGAAAAACTACCAATCAATAGAAAAATCCACACGAAAACTTGCAGAAAATAAAATTACCAAAATAGGAACAAATTGTCAAACATACATACCTCAAAGAATTTGGCATGGTGTTGCACTGAGAGAATGAGAGTCAGCAACAAAAAAACCTACATGCTTGATAATAGAAATCGTAGCCAAAAAGGGTATAAAACACAATATTCCATGTTAATTTGGCATTTCTACACTTCTTAACACATATGCAAACTGCTGGATAGGAAGCACAATGATCATGTAAGGGAAATGGAAAACAAAACCAATTAGAATTACAGGCAGCAAACGATATATACAAATAAAAACTCTAAATTAGGAGAGATACACGAAAGATATTTGATTCCTAATTTCTTGCGATTGCATTGATGATTTGAGAAAAATTAGGAAACGGATGAAGACCAAATTTCTTAAGTGGAAAACAAAAAGAGCAGGTTAACATAAACATGACACGTGGCAGAATAGAGATTAAAAAAAAGACAAGTGGCATATTCAGGTTTCTTTTATTAGAAACTAGACGTAACCTCGCGCGTTGCGCAATAATGCATTTAAGTGGTTAAAATAATTATGGAAAAAAATAGAAATATGTTGAAATTTACATTTTTAGTCATGTTTTGGGCATTAACCAAATTATCAATAACATAAAAATCCATCACTTATATTTGATACTATCTAATAGAGTCCATACCTTATAAACTTTACTTTTACTTTTATAATATCCAATATATATTATAAGTTTTTGTATAACATTAATATAGTCTACTTTTCTTATGTTCGATAATATTTTTTTGGATAAAATAAGAAATAAGTTGTTTTGAATGAGCTATTAATAAACAATATTGAACTAATAAACTTTATATTACACTATTTATATTACACAAAAACATCCAAGGTTTCATATATTAACTTTCAAATATTAAACATTGAAATTAAGAATGAAGTCATACAAAATATATCATTATACATAAATGTCATCAAGTTTTAAAATAAGTCGATTAGTAAATGATATTTGTAATTTTAATTACATATTTTGCAAGGCGTCGTACGTTTGACCTTATGTTGGTGCGCAGAGAATCTTCTTCCTTAATTTGTACCTAAAAAATTAAGGTGAATACGAATATATAATAGATATTACTAAGCATTAATGTAAATAATTAAAAAAGGTATGTGTATCTCCTACCACTGGTTAAAGACAACATACCTCTCTAGTGGTATCGATTCCTATGTGAAATTGTAAGTAGTCATTCTCCGTACACCTTGTTTTCTAATTACATAAACAAATATGAGTAACCAAACAAAAAAAAATATTATCTTTATGTAGGAAAAATATTTGTTAACTAACAAATTAAATAATAGAAGTTTAAGAGTTGGAGTTTCAAAACATTAATATTTTTATTAATCAATCAATTAAGTAACACATGTTGAAATTTTAACAATCATTATTAAAAAGCATTTGAAATATTAGATATTAAATGAATTTTAGTTGAAGTGTTTTCACCTCTATTAGAATATATATATATATATAGATATATATATATATATATATAATATATATATATCTATATATATTATAGAGAGAGAGAGAGAGAGAGAGAAGAGGATGGAAAGTATAACATATTATGAGTTTTAATTAATTATCTTTTGAAACGGTACAATTACCAAAACAAAAAAAACATATTAAATATTTAATTAAATATTTTGACATCACCCTATTAATGTATGATCAATAATTAATGATTAAACTACAATAGACAACAAATGTTACAATAATCCAAAAACGAAGAAAATATAAAAACGAAGGTTCGGGTCTATAACAAACTTACAAATTAAAAGCTCTAATATAAATGCCTATCTTTGAAAGTGGTCATAGACCTCAACCCAACACAAAAACCTTTAAATTTTGTTTTCTTTTTGAAATTTTGTATATGATTGTGTATGCATGTCTTTCCAAAAGATTGACGTTTTTATAATAAATTTTTCACTAAATGATAATTAAACATAATATAAGTTATAAAACTTTTGAGTGTTAAATCATAATGAAGAAAACTTTTGAGTTGTATTAGTTAAAAAAGGAGGTTTCAAATGAATGTGGTTTGAGAAAGTTAAAATAAGAGGTTTCAAATACATGAGATTCAAGAAAAAATGTTAGCTTTATAAGTATGTATGAAGGTAGATTAGAATAGGGAGATTATATTAAAACCGAAAAAAAAAAAAGAAGTATTTAATTATTTATCCACAGAAACTGTCCATTATGGTAGTAACATCAGGAAGAAGGAATGGTGAAGCGAAAGGGATGGTAGTGACCCTATGATTGTGACGGCAGTTTGACAGAATCGTCGGCGACCCCCTCAACTTCCAACGTCGTCTACAGTTTCGTCAACGATTGGTCGTCGTTGCCATACCAAATAACACGAATTAGATGACCGGTGGCGCCGGTTAACCAGTCATCCTGTCTCCATTCACCTCTGCGGTGGGGGTTCTCGCATTTATGAACAATACCTGGAGTTCATTGAAGCATAATGCATAAACATACAGCCACTCCCTAATACCTCAAACCCACACCAATCATGGCTGTAAGTTCAAATTTCTCTTATCTTATCCAATTTCATCTCCAATCCGTGAATCATTTCTAATCATCTATGTTTTTCGTTCCGCGTTTTCGCTAATTTAGGGTTTAGTTTGTCGAGTTCAGCAATCGATTTTTGAAATTTATGATGTTTGTAACTTACAACATGTTCGTAATAACATTTATCATGATTGAATACTTGAATCGTTGCCATTTTGGAATTACTTAGAGGATTTGGATACTCTCATACTCAATTCTCAATTTCACATCCTTTTTTTTTTCGAATTGTGGTTGCTTAATTCTCTGTTTATTGTGGTTGCTTAATTCTGAATTTCACATCCTTTTTCGAATTCAGCAAGTACCAAAGTTTGGGAACTGGGAAAACGAAGAAGATGTTCCTTACACTGCTTATTTCGAGAAAGCAAAGAAAGCTCGTAAAACCAAAGCACAGTTTCCTGTTCCTTCGAACGACGAACATCCATTTCAGGCTCCAGAAGAAGCTGACATCAAACATGGCGATTCAACAAAATCTGAACCAGAGAGACGGAATACATCAAGAACAGAAGAGGAGAGTCGTGTGAGCCAGGAAGAAGTTAACATGAAGAAGTCGAGTGATTCTCTTCCAAACCCTAGACGGACTTCAAGACAGAGTGGTGGTGGTTCTGATCGGAGCTTTGATAACTCACCAATGCACTCACATACTCCGGCAAGATCTGGGAACAAAGGTAACACTGGTTCTTCTCCTATGTCGTCGGAAAGAAAAGTTTCATCGGAAGTTAACCATGGTCCAGCTTCTTCTACTCCTGGAAGATCCAGAGTGAAG